GGTGTGCAATGCTGAACGCAAGTCAGTTTACTCGATTGGCCAGCAGGGAGCGGGAACTATCTCTGTCAGAGTATTTGAAGAAGAACTTAGAACAATGGATCAGTTCTCTGAGTGCCCTGCGTGGTATTTCAGTGGACCCGTATATACGAACATCGTATTTACCATTGAAGTGGTTTGCAGTAATTAAAATACTAGTCTATTTTAGAAAACGTGTATTGACCTCTTTTGTTCCTAATACCAGATTTGAATTGACGCAACTTAACACAATCTCTGGGGATCTCAGACGATACGAAAGAGGGGTTGAACAGGCTAGTAATAGGGATTGCGGCAATTTCGGCGACTAATTTTAGAAAGAAAGGGTCCAGATTGTCTAGCCCAGCTGATTTGTAGGGGTCCAGATTTTGCAGCTCTTTCAGGACATCAGCTATTTGAATTTGGGTGAAGGAGAAGCGGGGGGGGGGGGCATGGGCAAGTTGCAGTGGAGGGTGCAGAGCTGGTGGCCGGGGTAGGGGTAGCCAGGTGGAAAGCATGGCCAGCCGTAGCAAAATGCTTATTGAAATTCTCGATTATCGTAGATTTATCGGTGGTGACAGTGTTTCCTAGCCTCAGTGCAGTGGGTAGCTGGGAGGAGGTGCTCTTATTCTCCATGGACTTTACAGTGTCCCAAAACTTTTTGGAGTTAGTGCTACAGGATGCAAATTTCTGTTTGAAAAAGCAAGCCTTTGCTTTCCTAACTGCTTGTGTATATTGGTTCCTGACTTAAAAAGTTGCATATTGTGGGGGCTGTTCGATACTAATGCAGTACGCCACAGGATATTTTTGTGCTGGTCAAGGACAGTCAAGTCTGGGGTGAACCAGGGGCTATATCTGTTCTTAGTTCTGCATTTTTTGAATGGGGCATGCTTATTTAAGATGGAGAGGAAAGCACTTTTGAAGAACATCCAGGCATCCTCTACTGATGGAATGAGGTCAATATCCATCCAGGATACCCGGGCCAGGTCAATTAGAAAGGTCTGCTCGCTAAAGTGTTTTAGGGAGCGTTTGACAGTGATGAGGGGTGGTCGTTTGACCGCGGACCCATTACGGACGCAGGCAATAAGGCAGTGATCGCTGAGATCCTGGTTGAAGACAGCGGAGGTGTATTTAGAGGGTAAATTTGTCAGGATGATATCTATGAGGGTGCCCATGTTTACGGATTTAGTGTTGTACCTGGTAGGTTCCTTGATGATTTGTGTGAGATTGAGGGCATCTAGTTTAGATTGTAGGGCGGCCGGGGTGTTAAGCATATCCCAGTTTAGGTCACCAAGCAGTACGAACTCTGAGGATAGATGGGGGGCAAGCAATTCACATATGGTGTCCAGCGCACAACTGTGGGCTGAGGGGGGGCTGTAGCAAGCAGCTATATACAATTGAATAATACAGAGTTTGAGTCTTCCGATTTTAAATGATTGTATTAGTTATTTTCATTACTTAAGTGACCTGTATCGTTATTAAAATAGATTTAGGGCGAGTTTATGAAAAAACGTGCACCTGATTATTAACCAAGCTGTCAAGTTCCCATTTAACTAAATGAACACCTAGAAAGACTTCTCGCCATTGACTATAAACATTGTCAGAGCACTCAATGACAAGCTCTATGAGAAGAGGAAGGTTGCTGCTCTAGAGATTGAAAAGTGAGTCTTCTTCCTTGCTCATGATTCTGGTGAAAGTATTTTGTTTTGTGTTTGTAGACTTGGAGGTGACAGCCTTTTAAAACGTTGATGTATCTTTCCACCCAAGATTAGGCTGTTTGTCTTTCTGCAGTTTGTATGACTCAGCTGAGTAGGAAGTGTTTGTGAGCATCAATACACACACATACTCCATAGAATTTCAAGTAAGAAACTGCATGGGTTTGGATGTAGGCGCTGCATATGCTGACTAATCTCCTGAGAAACCATGTGACAAACTGTCATCAAATGATCAATTGCTTTGGATTTTGAAAGTGGAGGCCTTAAACTTGAAAGTTAAATTAAAATGGGTAAATGTGCATTCTTTCAGGCACATGATACTGGTTTGTCCTTGTATTTTCATTCTTGTGACATGTAAGAGGCACCATGTGACATTGAAGTTAAAATGGGAAAGGATTATGGAACGTTAGATGGTCCTGCCACTGGCCCCTGATTGGGTTGTGTCGCTGCGTTGTATGATAAGATAATGGCTGGAAACACACAGAGTGTGTGCAGGATTTGTACGATTAAACTCATCAATGGCTTGATGATTAGGTCTAGTTGATCAGTGGAGGCAAATGTGTTTGGCTAAAACAATAGCCTGCACCATGTGTATCTCCAGGAACAGGATTGAAGACTACTCTGATTTTAGTGTGTCCATCTGTCTAGACATTTGTTTCTGTGTCTGTTGCCTTGATACACAGACTGGTGAGGGAGTTTGTGGCTCAGAACAACTCTGCCCAGATCAGACATGTTATCCAGATCCTGGCCTCAGAGTTTGCCCTGTCCCAGCACCCTCACAGCCACAAAGGAGGCCTCATCGGCCTGGCAGCATCTTCCATCGCCCTGGGCAAGGTAAAGGGATCTGGGCATCAATATTCCATACAGTCTGTAATAGTTCTGTAACACATTAGAGCACATTACACTGGGTTGTTTGAAGTTTGTAATCATTGAGTCTACTGGAAGTAAATGTTTTTAGAAGACTGCCTTTAAAATTATTTTATAAGTTGTGCTTGCATCCTTGGTGTGTTCGTGTGTGTGTTCAAGTGAGTGTGTTCATGTATGTGTGTTTTGCAGGACTCTGGCCTGTACCTGAAGGAGCTTATCGAGCCCGTACTCACCTGCTTTAATGACTCAGACAGCAGACTGCAGTACTATGCCTGTGAGGCGCTCTACAACATAGTGAAAGTGGCCACGGGAGCAGTGCTACCACACTTCAACGTGCTCTTCCATGGACTGAGCAAGGTAACCCGAGTGTGCAGCCTGTCACCAATCACAGGACTAACCTGTCCAGAGCCAATCATACATGTTAAACACAATGGTTAAACACAATGGTTACTCACAATCTATTTTAATGCACTGGTCATGTTTTAGGAAGTTCAATGACCGAAAGCTAAACAATGAATACACTGACACCACAATATTGCTTGCCTGTGGACATAGAAAGTGCTCAGATAATACTTTTATTTAGGATACCTCTGATATTGTGTGCTCTCTCCTCCAGCTTGCTGCAGATCCTGACCCCAGACTGTTGAAGGTGAGATTACAGTACAAACCATGTCAAGACATTTCCTGTAAGTTTAATGTCGGCTTAGATTGGACTTCGGCCAGTAACTAAAATGATGACACTTCTCTGCCTTCACAGGACATTTTGACTGAGAGTAACAAGTTTGACCTGATGGCGTTTGTCCCCCTGCTGCGTGAGAGAATCTACTCCAATAACTAGTATGCCCGTCAGTTCATAGGAGGGCGGTCCTGCCCTACTCCTCTTGCATCCTGACCGCTGCCCTGCCTGTCCTAAGATGACTGCAAAAAAAGTATCCACTAAGCATAGTGTGGGAGCATTATGATGTCTGGTGGGATATACAGTTGAAGTCGGAAGTTTACATACACTTAGGTTGGAGTCATTAAAACTGCTTTTTCAACCACTCCACAAATTTCTTGTTAACAAACTATCGTTTTGGCAAGTCTGTTAGGACATCTACTTTGTGCATGATACAAGTAATTTTTCAAACAATTGTTTACAGACAGATTATTTCACTTATAATTCACTGAATCACAATTCCAGTGGGTCAGAAGTTTACATACACTAAGTTGACTGTGCCTTTAAACAGCTTGAAAAAATCCAGAAAATGATGTCATGGCTTTAGAAGCTTCTGATAGGCTAATTGACATCATTTGAGTCAATTGGAGGTGTACCTGTGGATGTATTTCAAGGCCTACCTTCAAACGCAGTACCTCTTTGCTTGACATCATGGGAAAATCAAAAGAAATCAGCCAAGACCTCAGAAAAACAAATGTAGACCTCCACAAGTCTGGTTCCTCCTTGGGAGCAATTTACAAACACCTGAAGGTACCACGTTCATCTGTACAAACAATAGTACGCAAGTATAAACACCATTGGACCACGCAGCCGTCATACCGCTCAGGAAGGAGACGTGTTCTGTCTCCTAGAGATGAACATACTTTGGTGCAAAAAGTGCAAATCAATCCCAGAACAACAGCAAGGACCTTGTGAAGATGTTGGAGGAAACAGGTACAAAAGTATCTATATCCACAGTAAAACAAGTCCTATATTGACATAAACTGAAAGGCTGCTCAGCAAAGAAGAAGCCACTGCTCCAAAACCACCATAAAAAAGTCAGACTATGGTTTGCAACTGCACATGGGGACAAAGATCGTACTATTTGGAGAAATGTCCTCTGGTCTGATTAAACAAAAATATAACTGTTTGGCCATAATGACCATTGTGTTATGTTTGGAGGAAAAAGGGGAATGCTTGCAAGCCGAAGAACACCATCTCAGCCGTGAAGCACAGGGGTTACAGCATTATGCTGTGGGGGTGCTTTGCTGCAGGAGGGACTGGTGCACTTCACAAAATAGATGGCATCATGAGGAAGGAAAATTATGTGGATATATTGAAGCAACATCTCAAGACACCAGTCAGGAAGTTAAAGCTTGGTCACAAATGGATCTTCCAAATGGACAACGACCCCAACAATACTTCCAAAGTTGTGGCAAAATGGCTTAAGGACAACAAAGTCAAGGTATTGGAGTGGCCATCACAAAGCCCTGACCTCAATCCTATAGAAAATTTGTGGGCAGAACTGAAAAAGCGTGTGCGAGCAAGGAGGCCTACAAACCTGACTCAGTTACACCAGCTCTGTCAGGAGGAATGGGCCAAGATTCACACAACTTATTGTGGGAAGCTTGTGGAAGGCTACCCGAAATGTTTGACCCAAGTTAAACAATTTAAAGGCAATGCTACCAAATACTAATTGAGTGTATGTAAACTTCTGACCCACTGGGAATGTGATGAAAGAAATAAAAGCTGAAATAAATCATTCTCTCTACTATTATTCTGACATTTCACATTCTTAAAATAAAGTGGTGATCCTAACTGACCTAAGACAGGGAATTCATACTAGGATTAAATGTCAGGAATTGTGAAAAATTGAGTTTAAATGTATTTGGCTAAGGTGTATGTAAACGTCCGACTTCAACTGTATCTACTAGCATATAACTGTAACTATTAGGCCTATAACACAGATACTTGGAAATGGTTGTATATTTAACCAATATGGCCCGAGGGGGTTATGGTATATGGCCAATATACCACTGCTAAGGGCTGTTCTTATGCACGACGCAACGCAAAGGATTGGCCATATACCACAAACCCCAGAGCTGCCTTATTGCTATTATAAGCTGGTTACCAACGTAATTAGAGCAGTAAAAATAAATGTTTTGTCATACCTGTGGTATACGGTCTGATATACTGCGGCTGTCAGCCAATCAGCATTCAGGGCTCGAACCACCCGTTTTATACAGTGGGGGAAAAAAAGTATTTAGTCAGCCACCAATTGTGCAAGTTCTCCCACTTAAAAAGATGAGAGAGGCCTGTAATTTTCATCATAGGTACACGTCAACTATGACAGACAAATTGAGGAAAAAAATCCAGAAAATTACATTGTAGGATCTTTAATGAATTTATTTGCAAATTATGGTAGAAAATAAGTATTTGGTCACCTACAAACAAGCAAGATTTCTGGCTCTCACAGACCTGTAACTTCTTCTTTAAGAGGCTCCTCTGTCCTCCACTCGTTACCTGTATTAATTGCACCTGTTTGAACTTGTTATCAGTATAAAAGACACCTGTCCACAACCTCAAACAGTCACACTCCAAACTCCACTATGGCCAAGACCAAAGAGCTGTCAAAGGACACCAGAAACAAAATTGTAGACCTGCACCAGGCTGGGAAGACTGAATCTGCAATAGGTAAGCAGCTTGGTTTGAAGAAATCAACTGTGGGAGCAATTATTAGGAAATGGAAGACATACAAGACCACTGATAATCTCCCTCGATCTGGGGCTCCACGCAAGATCTCACCCCGTGGGGTCAAAATGATCACAAGAACGGTGAGCAAAAATCCCAGAACCACACGGGGGGACCTAGTGAATGACCTGCAGAGAGATGGGACCAAAGTAACAAAGCCTACCATCAGTAACACACTACGCCGCCAGGGACTCAAATCCTGCAGTGCCAGACGTGTCCCCCTGCTTAAGCCAGTACATGTCCAGGCCTGTCTGAAGTTTGCTAGAGTGCATTTGGATGATCCAGAAGAGGATTGGGAGAATGTCATATGGTCAGATGAAACCAAAATATAACTTTTTGGTAAAAACTCAACTCGTCGTGTTTGGAGGACAAAGAATGCTGAGTTGCATCCAAAGAACACCATACCTACTGTGAAGCATGGGGGTGGAAACATCATGCTTTGGGGCTGTTTTTCTGCAAAGGGACCAGGATGACTGATCCGTGTAAAGGAAAGAATGAATGGGGCCATGTATAGTGAGATTTTGAGTGAAAACCTCCTTCCATCAGCAAGGGCATTGAAGATGAAACGTGGCTGGGTCTTTCAGCATGACAATGATCCCAAACACACCGCCCGGGCAACGAAGGAGTGGCTTCGTAAGAAGCATTTCAAGGTCCTGGAGTGGCCTAGCCAGTCTCCAGATCTCAACCCCATAGAAAATCTTTGGAGGGAGTTGAAAGTCTGTGTTGCCCAGCGACAGCCCCAAAACATCACTGCTCTAGAGGAGATCTGCATGGAGGAATGGGCCAAAATACCAGCAACAGTGTGTGAAAACCTTGTGAAGACTTACAGAAAACGTTTGACCTGTGTCATTGCCAACAAAGGGTATATAACAAAGTATTGAGAAACTTTTGTTATTGACCAAATACTTATTTTCCACCATAATTTGCAAATAAATTCATTAAAAATCCTACGATGTGATTTTCTGGAAAATAAAATCTAATTTTGTCTGTCATAGTTGACGTGTACCTATGATGAAAATTACAGGCCTCTCTCATCTTTTTAAGTGGGAGAACTTGCACAATTGGTGGCTGACTAAATACTTTTTTCCCCCACTGTAACTGTACTATAAGATGGGAAAATGTACTATAAGATAAGAATTTCACAAGAGCAAGTGCTCGCTTATGTAAAATCTGGCCAACAGATGGCGCAAGAGTTCTGTGTTTCTGGAGGTTTGTATCCTTCACTGATCCTGTACAGGCACCAAAGAGGCTGCAAGCGCCTGCAACCACAGCCTGATTAAGCTGGTGACCCCTGAAGATGATGATGAAGAAGAAGAAGAAGAAGATGGAAGCGGTAACAGCCCACCCAGAGAAGACAGCCCGCCAAAGACTGAGTGGGATACTAACGATAAGTTAGCACTAGTGATGCATGGTTTAATTTGTTTAAATTTTTGTCCAAATTGGCCTGGATGACAAGGATGGTCCTTAATTCCAAGGTGAACAGGGAGGAGAATTTTATCAAGGCAATGTTATTCCCAAATCCTGTCATTGTTCACCGCAGCTCGCTGTGACTAAATTTTTGTTTAGGTCTTGGTTAAGTCAAAATGTTGGAACTTTTTCTATTCTGATTACCCTGCTCATCTTGTGAATTTTGTAGTCATTATTTTTTTACATTTTTCATTGTAAAATAATTTACTAAAAGAAAATTGTCGAGGCCAGTCCTGACACTAATCGGCACCAATCCTGTTTTCTCCTGAAATGCTTGATGGTTCATGTCCACATACTCTCCAGAGGTAGCCATGGTCAGGCGTAGAAATGGTCTGATGGGTAAAATCAGGCGGGAAGTGAGCTGGCAACCGGAGGGTTGCTGGTATGGGGGTCCCATCGCCCCGCTGGGAGTGATGCTGAAAAATTTTGTTTTTTTAAGGGAGTTTTATGGGGGGGGATTGGGTTTGGGGGCCATAAATAGCTTTTTGGGGGTTTTTGGGGGTTCAAGGTTTTTTAACCATTCGGGGGGTTTTTTTTTTTGGGGGTTTGTCCCGGGGGAAAGGGGGGGTTTGGGGGGCCCCAAAAAGGAATTTTTGGATTTTTGTTGGGGGCTGGTGGTGGGGTAAAATTTGAGGGTTAAATTTTTTTAATAAAATGTGAGCCGTTCCCCGGGCCCTTTCCCGGACCCGGGAAGAAAGGTGGCAAGCCCCAAAAGGCGGGGCCCCCAAAAATTGGGCCCAAGGGGGTTCCAAACCCTTCCCCCTTCCCAAAAAAAGGTCTTAATTAATCAAACCCGCCCAAAAAGGTGAAAACCCTTTTAAAGCCAAGGGGGAAAAAACCTTTACTTGGCCCTTTTTTTTCCAAAAGGCCTTCCTTTAAAAAAAAGCATTATCAGTTTGGGAGAACAAAAGATCCCCCACTCCCCCTTTTTTCACAAACCCCAGGGGGGTGAAACCCCCAAAATAAGAAAAACCGGGTGCCCTTTCATTTTTAAATTGCAACCTCACCAAAAATGGTTAAATTTTTTAAAATTTTAAAAACCCCCGGTTAACCCGAAAAAAACCCCCGAATTTATTAAAACAAAAAAAACAAATTTTGGGGTTTTTCAATATAAAGCCAACACCAGGTTATTCGGCAAAACCGGGAAAAAATTTGGTGGCATCCCTTTCTTGAAACTGCCCCCAAACCAAACCACCGGGGTTCCGGGGGACCAAACAGGGGGTTTGGGGGTTGCCGCAAATTAAGTGTTTTTTTCTCCATATTTGGCCCGACCCCGCTTGTACCCGCCAAGGTTAAACCAATTTGTTAAAAAACACCCAATATTCTCCGGGGTTTTTTACCCAAACCCCTGTTTACCTTCCCCTTGGGGGTCCCTTGCTGGTATGAAGTTGAGACTTTATTCTCGGTGTTTCTTGGATATTTACATTGTTTTGTTAACAAGTTAGGTTGTTTTTCAATGTTTGAGTTTGCTACCACTGCTAGGGAAGAGAGGTTGTCAGCCTCAACAACTCGAGTGGCCCAATCCGTTGGCGCACCGGCTGGTCCCAGTTCCTTGGCGCTCCACTGTTGCCAGGCATAAATTGTTATCATAACAACCTGTAGAGCCAGCTCCCATAGACACCGTTCCACTGTACCCTAAGTACCTACGTTCAAGGACGGTTCACAGATCACAAAGAAGCAGTGTAGTCTAGTATTTGGAGACACAAGTTCTTATCTTCCCCTACTCCCTAAAACAGCTCCTCACATTAATCACAGCTTGTTAGGTGAAACAATTTATATCAGTACAGTACAGACCTTTTATGCTTTAATCATTAATGCATTCTTTCTAAGTTAGTCATCCCATCAGTTATGAGAAAATAGATCCCCACAATCCCCCTTTTCACACCCACTGGGTGTGAACCCAAAATAAGAAAAACACAGGGTGTCATTCATTAAAATGCAATACAAACAAAATGGTTAAGTTGAATAATAAGTCATAAAACACAGGATTAATAGAACACAAAACACAAGAATATTAAAACATAAAACACAAACTTTGGGGGCTGTGAAACTAGCCCTCAAAGCCAAACAGCACAGTTAATGGCGGACGGAAGACAGGGTGGTGTGGCAGGTGCCGCTTCTCATTCGAATGCTGTAATTTTATCTAAACCATCAGGTGTACGCCGACCCCAGCTAAGTAACTCATGCAAAGAGTTAAAGCGCAATTATGTGTTTTATCTCCAGTATTCTGCCATGATTGTCAGTTATGTAGCTGCTCTACTGATAATCTCAGTGCGTCCTTGCTGGGATGACACAATCAGTCTACTACCGGAGAATATTAACACCAAACACAAACACATTGGTTCACCGTTCCACGGGAGCGGACAGTACACAGCATACCATAATGTTCTGAATAATGGCCAAGTCTACCTCGCTCCTTATTCTACTGAACCGCTTAGGCGCAACAAACACAAGTCCAACATTTATCGGAAACTGTTAAACTACCTGTTCACTACCCTCCTGCTCTCCGGGGATGTGCAACTCAATCCTGGGCCCAACATCACCGAGCCAGCGATACGCACCGGAGTGGAGGGCGGTGGATGGCCTCGTCCACTGATCGTCGCCGCTGTGGAGGTGGGTGAGTGCTATGGTCCTGTGGTTTCTCTCGACTCACCCGGCTCCAGGATGGATTTAGACTCTTCAAACATACCAAAGTCGCTATATGCGATCCCTGACTCTGCTTCTGGTATGCAAGCTGTTTTAATTAGTTTCCCGCATCCAGTGCAGGCGGGAGGGATTGTTAATTGCGCTACCGAACTGCCCCTAATCAAAACGAAACAAAACGGCCTAAACCCAGCCGTCAGAAAACACAGATTTTTTTTTTTTTTTCAATGTGTCAATCACTCTCGAGTCATCTGGGACCCACGAGCTAAGCCCAAGGGACTACTAGGGGGGCACTTGAACATTCGTAGTGTCATTCCAAAAAGTGATCAAATTCAACATCTACTCACAGACTCCAACCTTGACTTTCTCTGCCTCTCAGAGACATGGCTCCATAGAAACTCTCCATCTGCTGCTTTGATTGTGCCTGGCTACAATGTTTTCAGGAGAGACAGGACTGAAGGAAGAGGAGGGGGTGTGATGATTTATATTAAAGAACATATCCGATGTAAACAAATTGAGTGGTCATGTGATAATGAACTAGAATGTATTGGCCTGAACATTACACTGTCTCCCCAAATGTATTTTACCCTCATTGGAATGTATAGGCCACCTTCCACCAAAAGTGTGTTTTTTGATCAGTTTAATAACATGCTTAGGGAATGTGATTTTGGGAAAGAGGTCATCTTAATGGGAGATTTTAACATTAATTATGAAGACAAGTGTTGTAGGAAAACCCTCAAACGGATCACTAATACCTTTGACCTTACACAGCTAGTTAAAGGGCCAACCAGGGTGACTTGTTGCTCTAAAACACAGATTGATTTGGTGTTCAGTAATAAACCAGAGAGAGTGACTAAATCATTCAATATGGTTACTGGGCTATCTGATCATAATCTGACACTTATAGCCAGAAAGCTGTCTAAGAGCAGGTTTAACCTCTCTACTGTTAGAAAGCCTGATCAACTAAGAATACCTAAGAGTGAATTAAGCTATTTTGAAAATGCAATTAAGGGAATTAACTGGAATGATCTCTTGTCCTATGCAGACGTGGAAGCTGATAGTCAAGTTTTTCTATCCACAATCCAGACTACATTAAATGGTTTCCTAAAGAAAATCAAATCCAAACCTGGCCAAAAGAGCACTCTTCCTTGGCTAAATGGAGAAATCTGGAAATTGATGAAAGAACAAGATTATTATCTAAAAATAGCCCTAAGATCCAAATTAGAGCATGACAGACGTAGGTTTACCATGTTGAGAAATAAGGTGATGAAAGAAATCAGACAGGCCAAGGCAAACTTTTTTATTAACATAATTGGTGAAGCAAAGGGAAATTCTAAACTGATCTGGGAGAATCTAAAAAAGTTAACAGGGAAAGACCATAGTAACACTGCAAAAAGACTAGAAATCATGGTGAATAACAATCTAACACAGGATGCAGTCGAAATAGCAATAGTCTTCAATTCCTACTTTATTGACTCTGTCAGGGTACTGACACAGAACCCCTCCACTGGTTTCTTGGGCTCAGTGCTAGTAAATGATGCTCAACCTGTCTTCATCATAAGGGAGGTTTCTGAGTCAAAGGTAGACAAGGTGATTAGCTCACTAAAGAACTCTAAAGCCAAATATGTGTTTGGGATGGACTCTACCTTTCTTAAAAACTACAAAGAGTCACTCATTGGCCCCATTACTAAGGTCACCAACACATCTATTGGTCTCGGGGTGTTTCCAAGGGTATGGAAGTCGGCCATAATAACGGCCATCTTTAAATCAGGCGACCCTGCTGATGTGAGTAACTACAGGCCCATTAGTATACTACCTGTGGTGTCAAAGATTGTTGAAAAGTGTGTAGCAGAACAACTGATTGCCCACCTCAACAACAGCCCCTTCACATTACATTCCATGCAGTTTGGCTTCAGAGCGAAACACTCTACAGAAATGGCCAACTGCTTTTTTCTGGAAAATGTGAAGTCCAAGATGGACAAAGGGGGCGTTGTTGGGGCTGTGTTTCTGGACCTAAGGAAGGCTTTTGATACTGTTAACCATGAGATTCTCATCACAAAATTGTCCAAGTTCAACTTTTCCCCCGATGCCTTGAGATGGATGAAATCTTACCTTGAAGGCAGAACTCAGTGTGTCAGAGTGAGCAATGAGCTGTCGCCCACTCTTAGCTATGATGTGGGTGTGCCCCAAGGGTCAATACTGGGGCCCCTCCTGTTCAGCCTGTACATTAATGATCTGCCTTCTGTCTGTACTGGGTCTGAAGTTCAAATGTATGCAGATGATACAGTGATATATGTGCATGCAAAGAGCAAACAACAAGCTGCACAAGAACTCACTACTGTAATGGTCCAGGTTACAAAGTGGCTCAGTGACTCGTGTTTGCATCTCAATGTGAAAAAAACTGTTTGCATGTTCTTCACAAAGGGGGCAACAGATGCTACTGAGCCAGAAGTCTATGTGTCAGGGGAGAAGCTCCAGGGGGTATCTGATTTTAAGTACCTTGGCATCATACTTGATTCCAACCTCTCTTTTAAAAAGCATGTGAAAAAGGTAATTCAAATAACCAAATTCAACCTAGCTAATTTCCGATTTATACGAAATTGTTTGACTACAGAGGTAGCAAAACTGTACTTCAAATCTATGATACTCCCCCACTTAACATACTGCTTGACTAGTTGGGCCCAAGCTTGCTGTACAACAGTAAGACCTATTCAGTCTGTCTACAAACAGGCTCTCAAAGTGCTTGATAGGAAGCCCAATAGCCATCATCACTGTCACATCCTTAGAAAGCATGAGCTCCTGAGTTGGGAAAATCTTGTGCAATACACCGATGCATGTCTTGTATTCAAGATCCTAAATGGCTTGGCTCCCCCTCCACTCAGTATTTTTGTTAAACAGAAAACCCAAACATATGGCAGCAGATCCACAAGGTCTGCCATGAGAGGTGACTGTGTAGTTCCCCTAAGGAAAAGCACCTTTAGTAAATCCGCTTTTTCTGTGAGAGCTTCCCATGTCTGGAATACACTGCCATCAGACACACATAACTGCACCACATATCACACTTTCACAAAATGCTTGAAGACATGGCTAAAGGTCAATCAGATTTGTGAACATGGTCCCTAGCTGTGTGTTGCCGCTTTCCATGTCTGTTGTCTGTAACTTGTGAGGTGTGGAAACACTTTGTTGCTTTTATGAATTTTGTCTTGCTGCTTTTTGTTCTATGTTGCTCGGTCTGTATGCTACGTCTTGTTTGTCCTATGTTGCTATGTCTGTATGCTATGTCTTGTTCTATGTTGTTATTGTCTATATTGTAATTGTTTTTAATAACCTGCCCAGGGACTGCGGTTGAAAATTAGCCGGCTGGCTAAAACCGGCACTTTTACTGAAATGTTGATTAATGTGCACTGTCCCTGTAAAAATAAACTCAAACTCAACTCAACTCAACTCAAACGGGGAAGTACATTTTGACCCCCTTTAGACACCCTCTAGGGTGTGATTCAAAAAATGTTAAAGGGAAAATTTAGGATTCCCTCTGTTGACACCATTTATGGTGTCACTCCAAATAACAGTTTGAACAGAATATAAACAACCCTGAGAATAACAGGATATGGAAATTAAATCACATCAAAAAATGTTAATAAAATAAAAATAATAATTTTAACCCTCTATTTCTCCCCTACACCTAACATGTACTGAGTTGGCTACCAGCCACCCAGGAATCATTTACCTTCACATCAGGAGGAATAAACAATCACAGTGGTTAGTAAAAACATAAGGTAATAAATGAGCAAGAACTGAAAATAAATGCGTTTTTTTTTTTTTAGGCAAACCATGGATCATCCAGCTTGGTCTCAGAGTCAGTAGCAGAGTCATCCGCATCATCCTGGGCCCGTAACAACGGCATCATACCTGATGCCTGCACCACTCCTACCACTGACTTCCTGAGACAGGGGATGATGCAAGCAGCACAACACATTAACAGCAAAAACACAATCACTAGGGTCAGAAATCCAGTAACCACCATAGAAGAATACTTACCGAACCAGTCACTTAACCAGGAGAACAGCCCACCACTCTCCACTCCAGCCATGCTCTTCATTTCTGCTGACAACTTATCCAGGCCAACAAGGGCCTTTGTGATGCTCCCGTCAGGGCTAGTATTGTTAGGAATAAACGTACAGCATTGTTCCCCAAACATCTTACACACACCCCCTTGGTTAGCAAGCAACATGTCAAGTGCTAGTCTATTTTGCCTAGCCACCCTAGAGGTGGCCTCTAGTTGTTCGGACATTCCAGTCAGGGCAGTGCGTGTGTAGTTAACAAATCGCTGTTGGTTATAATAGATGTCATTTATCCAAGATCGCTGTTTAGCAGCATCTATAGCAGGTCCTATGATTGGCAACAAATGCCACAACCCATCATTCCTGTTGAGTGCCTGGAACTGTAATGGTACTCCCACAGGCACCCCCAACAGGTTAGAGTGGATCTCCTCTCCTGCTGACCATGGGGCACTACGTCTCCCCCGCCTCATTCTCTCTCTGTCTGGGGCTAGCTGGGCGATCCCCAAAAGTTGGTCTGAGGAAACATCAATAATGGTCAGTGGTACAATCAAACTAGCTAATGCACACGTGCCCTGCCAGTCCCCCTTTAGAATCGGGGTTAGTTTTCTATTTGGCCCACAGATCCACCACACATCAGCCACCCCCTTTGTCTGGGTTTTACCCTCTACTGGCCAAGTGCTGTTCATAGTTACATTCACAGCACAGTCCCCTGGTGGTAGCCTACCATAGTTAACACCCTTACCTGTTCCAGTAATGCAACTGTAATTACCTCCATAAGCCTGAACTCCCGCAGGTGCCTTTTGTGGGGGAACCTCAGGGAAAATCAAACTTAGGGCTTTGCACAGGGTGGTGTTTGGCAGTGAATGGTATAACTCTTCCAATATGCACTGCCATCCTTCCCCTTCTCCTAAGGCGAATGGGTGGGTTGCCAACCCAGGTCTTGCATGCCCACAGATAACACAATTCTGCCTGACCAGTGTCCTAGCCGTATACCTCATGTATGCCAACCACATATTTTCTTTCCCTTCATAGCCAGTTTCTGTCCCCAATTGGTCGCTGTCCGTTATATCCCTAACATTAATCACCTGAATGGGGTTTGGTACCTTAGTGGGTTGAAGCTGAGCTGGTCCTGGAGTGGTGATGTGGTTCAACTGGGTCTGTCTCTCCCCAGCTGCAGGTTTGGGTGTGACCGCGATGGTGAACATACCCATGGTGTCTGGTCCGGATCGTACTGCTGCTAAGGTGTACACACCTGCGTCTGTAAGTTTAATGTCTTGGATGGTTAGTAGGATTTCATCGCCTTTACATGCACCCCCTTTTGACCCCTGCACACCCCTTATCATTGAAAACCTAGCTGCTTTAGAAGCATCTCCTAATGCATATGGATAGCCTCTACGCCATTCCCAGAAGGTGCCAACATTTGTGATCATATAGTCCCAATATGGACACCACTTTCCCTCACACAGATAAGTACCTCTCTTTAACACATGGGGATACATTTTGTTACAGTTTCCCTTCTGGTTCCAATTGCAACCAGTGTCCCCAATTCCACTAGCCCTATTCCTCCATGACCAGATCTTACATGGTTCTAGGGACATCACTTGAGATTCCCCTTCCTGTAAGGTAATGACTATATTATGATACTGACTGGAAGTCACTGTTCGCCATAGGGCCAGCCCCACTACTAACCATAACATCCTCCCCTTCTGCTGCCAAGTCCTGTTGTACTTGATCTAGAGTTCTTCCTGGAGCTATATCTTTGGCACAATGTGTTCTGTGGTACCACACGTCCTTCTTACTCGTGTTTACCCTCAGCGAGTGACTTGATACCTCTTTCACCTGAAAGGGTCCCTCCCACCTTGGCTCCGTCCACTTCCTGGAATGCACCTTTACTCTCACCCAGTCTCCCACCAGGATGTCTCTGTTCTCGTCCGTGGTTTCAACAGCAGGAGTGCGCACTTCCACCACCTGTTTAGACAATCTTTCAACAAGAGAAATTAGCGCCTGCATGTAGTCTGTGTATCTGATTTTTGCAATATCTAGCCTAGGCATACTAAGATTGTCTGCTGGTGGCCCTGGCATTCTGCGTCCTGTCATAAGCTCATGTGGAGTCAAGTGGGTATCAGACCCAGGTGAATTTCTCATTGACATTAGAGCAAGGGGTAGGGCATCTACCCATTTCAGTTTGGTGCCTGCCATGATTTTAGCCATTTTTCGTTTCAGAGTCTGGTTAGCGCGTTCAACAAGTCCCTGCGATTGGGGATGATACACTGACCCGAACTTGTGAGTGATCCCTAGGGCCTGTTCTACCTCTCTCAGGTGTTCATTCTTGAAATGGGTACCATTGTCGGAACGGATCATTCACGGGACTCCAAACCTTGGAATGAGGTCTCGCATCAACCACTTAATCACGGCCTTTGCGTCTTCTCTTGCTGTGGGGATGGCTTCCACCCATCTGGTGAATCTGTCCACCATTACCAACAGGTACCTTTTTCCTTCCACTCTGTTGTCCTGTCCCATGTCCGTGAAGTCTATGCAAACGTCTTGAAATGGTGCATCAGGTATTGGGAAGCTACCTATCACTGCTCCAAGTGACACTTTGTTGTTGTATTGTTTGCACACTTCACAGCTCTCTGATGTCTCTCTTGCCATGTCCAACATGTGTGGATGCCACCATGCTTTCTCAACTGATTTTGTGACACTTTTCCATCCTCCATGAGCCTTCTCATGCTCTTCCCTTAAGATTGATCTGAGGAGTTTTGCAGGTCCCACTGTTTTTCCCGTGTGAGATCTCCAAATCCCATGATGGTCTTGCCTTGCTCCCTGTCTGCTCCATACGTTCTGTTCGTAGGCGCCTGCTGCTTCTTGCAACTGTCTTACTGTGTCTGTTGTCAACTCCTCCTGTCCTTGAGTGGCTCGTTGCACCATCTGCTGGGCAGTGTATCCTCCTGCATCTTTTGCTGCTTGATCAGCCCGATCATTTCCTTCACGCACTCTGGTGCTTTCTCTGCTGTGACCTTTGCACTTCATTATTGCCACTCGTTTGGGAAGCTGGATTGCATCAATTAACTTCTGTACTTCAACCTTGTGTTTGATGGGCTCATTTGAGCTGGTCACAAATCCTCTCCTCATCCACTGTGGTCCATCAATGTGTGCAATCCCATGTGCATAGGCAGAGTCTGTGTAGATGTCCACATTCTTTCCTTCACTTAGTTGTAGAGCTCTCCTCAACGCCCTAAGTTCAGCTAGCTGTGCTGAAGCTTCATTTGGACCAAGTTTCTCTGCTTCCATTACTTCATGTCCTCCTTCTGTGTCTTGTTTCACCACTGCATAGGCAGCAGTGTTTCCTTCCTTTGGGTCCTTTGACCTGTAGCAGCATCCATCAGTGAACAGGGTGATTTTGTTCCCCTCCAAGGGTGAGTTTTGCAGGTCCATTCGGACTTTGATCTGTTTGGCTGCTCTATCCTCACAGACATGTGGTTCTCCAAGACCCATACCATCGGTCATATTGGTTGCTGTTGTCACATATGTAATGTGCTTTGCAGTGATGGCCTTTGTTATGCTGGATTTTCTTTTACTGGACAGTGTGAAAAGTTTGGAGCCTATAAAAGCGGTCACCCCATGATCTGTATTGATTTCAAGTGGATGTCTCATCACAATGTGGGCTGTTTTACCTATAGCTTTTGCAATGGCAGCCATGTGTCTGGCACAGTCAGTTTGTCCTGTTTCAATGTTGTCCAGTTTCGCGCTGTAGTAGTGTAACACTCTTCTCTCCCCCTTTTGTTTCTGATACAGGATGGAATGTACATAACCGTCCTGCTCAGAAACATCCAAACAGAATGGCGTGGTGTAATCGGGTAAGGACAGTGCTTCAGCCTGTGCCAGCGTCTGTTTGAGTTGGATTAAAGCTGCCTCTGCCTCTGGAGTCCACTTAAGGACTGCTGTGAGGTTTCTGTTTCCTGCTTCTCTCAAGATTGCCCGCAGTGGTTCCACTTTAAGACAGTATTCTGGCACGTGTGTTCTGCTGTATCCAGTAAGGCCAAGAAATGACAAAAGGTGTTGTACAGTAGTGGGTTTGGGATGTTCCAAGATGGAGGTCCTCTGGGCCACAGACACAGCTTGTCCCTTCCCGGACAGCACTCTTCCCAGGAACTGGACACTTCTCCGACAGCACTGCACTTTCTCTTTCTTTACCTTGTATCCCTTTTTGGCTACCAACAGGAGAAGGGACTTGGTGGCCTGCAAACAAGACTCGGCAGTGGGTGCTGCCAACAGAAGATCATCAACGTATTGGAGTAGCGTCACCCCCTCAGGTAATGTTAGTTCTTCCAAGTGGCTCTTCAGGATAGCGTTGAAGATTCCCGGGGAATCACGGTAGCCTTGTGGAAGACGGGAATACGTAAATTGCTGCTCTCTGTAGGTAAATGCAAAAAGTGGCTGGGACTCTGGATGTAATGGGATGCAGAAAAATGCATTGGCGAGATCCACAACTGTAAACCAATCTTGGGTGGGTGAAATTTTATGTAAGGCCAGATATGGGTCTGGTACAGGTCGAACATCTGGTACAGTTACTTCGTTGATTGGTCTGAAGTCCTGCACCATCCTCCATTTCCCAGTGTCACCTTTCTTCACTGGAAGGATGGGTGTATTCCACGCAGAACAGGTTGGATATATAACCTGTCCTTTTTGGAGTCCTGATATCGTAGGCTCAATTCCCCTCGTCTTCTCTTCACTGAGAGGGTATTGAGATTTGTGAACTGGGACAGTGAGTTCACTTTCCTTTCGAATGGAGACAACCACTGGTTCTACATCAACCAGCCCCACATCTTCAGCACTTGTTGTCCACAGTTCCTCTGGTAGTTGATTGAAAATGTTAGGAGTATCCGGATGATCAGTCATCTCCCTGCCATGGTAACGTGATCTTCTCACAACCTCTGGTTTTGACACATCATCCACATTGAGTTTAATTCTCCATACTTGATTTCCATCAAGGAATGCGCTTTCCACGTTGTAACAAGAGGTTTTATTCCACCGTAGGCAACTTGCTGCCTTTACTGCAGGTCCCAGAGATCTTGCCTCGTATCCAAATCCCACGAGAAGGGTAACATGCGGCACAGAATCACTAGGAAGAGCAAACCATTTGTCTGTTAGCACCACGTCTCCATCCATGACCATGCAGCTGGTAGCCACCCCTTCTTTGAGTATGTACATATGATTGCTGGTCACAATCGGGCGCCTATCGTCCATTTCCTCCTCCCAGGCTTCATCATATGCTTCATCCAAGTCCCTTGTATAGTTCATTGTCATGTGCGGAGGGTCCTCAGGTGGATAGTATGCATTTAAGGTCTGTATCCAGGCCTTCCATAGTTGGAACTCTCTGCATACTTGGGGAGCATCAGGGTCAGTATCCATGAGCTTCAGCCAGTAAACATATGCTTCCTCCTCATCTTCCTCGTTTAGGTGTGTTCCCACATATAGAATGCGAGGGGGGTCGGAGAGTTTTTCCATGATTACTGGCATGAGTTCATCAATGGGCGTGATGGATGCGTGTAGGCCCTCCTGGTTACAATAGATACTACATCCCAGTTTGGAAAGCAGGTCCCTCCCCATGAGCCCCACCGAGCATTCCGGGTTGTATAGAAACTGATGGGTAACCTGTAGGTCATCCCATACAACCTCCAATGGAACTGTGTATGGCTTTCTCATAATAGCCCCAGAAACCCCAGAGAAAGCTTGTGTTTTGGTAGTGAGTTGATATGTTGCTTGTACAGAAGACCATGTACATCCTGTATCAATCAGCATATTATGTTGTCTTCCTCCAATCAAACATGTCACTACCGGCTCTGAACCTGGTGGGAAAGTGTAAATGTTGGTGGTGGGATCCTTATGGGTTTCTGGGCAGCTTCATTAGTAATTGTGTTCGTCACCCAGCCATGACATGCTGGGCAGGAGGGCAGCGTTAGGCACTGCTGGGTCTTGTTTTCGGTTCTGCTGTTGTGGTGGTTGGTGCTGCTGGACTGGCATTCCTCCTCCTTGTCAGCTTCCCCATCCTTGCTGGTATCTCGGTGCTTGTCTTCTGGGCTGTCCCATGTAACCCCTCCCTCTTTGTTGTCCCTTTCTTGGGAGATAACAGTGTCTTGCCAGGTGGCCATGCATCCCACAGTTAAAACACCCTTGGTCAGCATATCTAGGGGTGTATCCCTGTTGTCGTGGCGGTACATAGGGTTGCTGGTATGCGGGTGCACCATATCCAGGAGGACCAGAAGGTGCCATCATTCCCGTCATTGCCTGTATTACAGTAGTAACTGCAGCAGTAGTATCATTTCCAGGTGCAGGAGTGGTAGGATTAGATGTTGGGGTACTGGTTACCACCATTTGTTTTCCTGGCTTGTCCTCTGTCAGTTGCTTCTTCAGAACCTTCTTCTGATGTTGTTTGAGTTCATCCTCTTCCTTTCGCTTACCCTCTCTCCATCGTTCCACATGGTGTTGTGCTATCTCGGTAAATTCCGGAATCGATTTTGCGGTGATTGCCACAACTTTTTCACATTCAGCTTGCCGGGAGTCCCCCCAGGCAGTTCGTCAGGAAGAGGTGCTTCATGGTGTCTTTTCCTGGTTCTTCATTCCACGCTTGCCTCCAGAGGCACTTTGCCCTATTCATGTATGCTGGTATGGTTTCATCGTCATTCAATGTCAGAGTTCTCATCAGTTCGGGTCTGGCCTGGGTAGGATACTTCCTCCTTATGGCGTCCCATACGTCACTGCGGTGGGGGTCAAATCTAGTAGCCGACCCCACTTGCCCTCTCAGTCCCCCAGAGGTCATTATCTCTTTGCATTCCTGGTCACCCATACACCTGTTCATTACAGTAACCATATCACCTATGGTGAGTTCATCCGCTGCGGTGAGACTCTCAAAAGACTTCACCCATCTGTGTCCAGATTCTTCAGGTTGGGGGAGACTGTCCACCAGGGTCTGTATGTCTCTGTGGGCCCATGGCTTGTAAACTGAGGCCCCCCCTGGGGTCTCCCTCAACGGGTACTGCCCCCCTTTGTGTCCTTCTCTGGACTGGGCCCTGGCTCGGGTGTGGTACGCGGGTCCATCATTGTTGTCCCATATGTCTCCATCAAAAGCTCCACATATGAGTTTTTGTTGTTTCACTCTTTCCTCCTCACTCTCTTCCCCATCTCTGAGGTCAATACAGTGTCCCCTTACTGGTGAGCGTTCACTTTCACTTCTGTTTTTGTTCGCTTTGAGCTCCATCTTTAACTTGTGCAATTGTGCTTCCTGGTGTCGTACTTCCTCTTTTATCATTTTCAACTTTTCCAGTCGTTCTTCATCTCTCTGTCTCTCAAGTCTCTCCCTCCTTTCCCCTTCTTCAGCATCCTTGTTTCGTTGCCACTCCCCCTGGGCTAGACCACCCCTTATGTTTCCTTCAGTTAGGCTCATTCTCTCTTCCTTCTCACTCTCACCATCACCGTCAACACTCCCTCCTCCTTCTGTTCCGCATCTGCCCCCGTCTCTCCCTCGATTCTACTCAGTTCAAACACTCCTTTTTCTAGCGCTTTTGCAGCTTTTAGAAGTACATCCACTTCTCCCCTTCTGTCAGTCATATCACTCTTTCTGACCCACATTCCTTCTTCCTCCTCATCTGTCCTTTGTTGATAGTGGACTTTTCCCGCTATATCCAGAACCGGAGCCATTGTTTTTGGGTGGTCGTCATATGGTGGTGGCGCTGTTGGTAGGGGTGGGTATAAACGGGTCCTTTCCTTCTGTCCTGTTTTCTCCTCCCACAGTTTCTTCAATTTTCCAAGCATTGCTAGGCCAATCCGCTCCTTTAGCTTTGCTTTCTCCATTGCGTCTTTAATCTTGCCACTGCGGGGCTCTCCTTCATTCTTCCATTCACCTTCTGCTTTCTGGGTTTTCCGCTTCAACGTCTCCAGTATTCTCCCTGGTTCGCCTTCTACAGGCACTCCATCGGGGGACAGTATACAACCATCGTCTATCCATTCCTTATAGAGTTTCTCTCCTCGCCTGCTCCATTCCTTTCCATCTTTTCCTCCGTTTGTTTCAAGTGTGGATTTTAGAGCCTTCAATATTCTTTCCGCTTCTCCACTGGTAGTCATGTTTTTCGTTTTAATTTGTAATATTCGTCCGTTATTTAGTTATTTAAAGTACGTCTATTTATTATTCCCACCTAATTAGTTAAACTCAGTGCCAGATTATTTCAGCCTTAATTATTTGAAAGCAATATTCTTACAGTGCCACACATCAAATGGTAAATCAAAACGAATAAACCAAAGTGTTTCAATTATTTAACCAATGGTTGATATGTCAAATTAAACGCCACACAGCAAATGGTAAATCGAACGAATAAACCAAAGTGTTTCAATTATTTAACCAATGGTTGTTATGTCAAGTCAAGCGCCACACATCAAATGGTAAATCGAACGAATAAACCAAAGTGTTTCAATTATTTAACCAATGGTTGTTATGTCAACTCAAGCGCCACACATCAAATGGTAAATCGAACGAATAAACCAAAGTGTTTCAATTATTTAACCAATGGTTGTTATGTCAACTCAAGCGATAAACCATATTACTTCAATTTAATTATTTAAAACCAGTATTATGCTATGTCAAACATCAAACGTTACAGTTGTTGGTGAACACATAATTGGAGAGGAAGTACAAAACCAACGACGCTAGACAGAGAGGAATTTGCTTAAGCAAAAGGCAGTTTATTAAAACAGAGATAGCTGGTACTGCTCAAGCTACATGCATGGACCCAACCAATTGCCTCTTAAGGAGACAGTTGAGAAAGGATGAATAAACAGAGTTTACAGCATTACTTATACAATGTAACATAAAGGAAGGGGTCCTTCTTCTAGTCCCTTGATTGGTTCCCGAGGCGTAGGAGGCGGGTCTGCTCTGTCCAGAGCAGATGCCCCATTGGTGCACGGCAGAGTCCTCTGCCCTTGGCACCCGACCAGTAGAAGGAAGTGGAGTTTGAGTGTGCGTCCACAGTGAAATGTCTGTGTGTGTCAAAGAACTCGTGAGGCATGAGAATGAGTGTGCGTGCAAATGAAATATTTGTGTGTGTCCAGGGAACTGGTGAGGACCATCTGGTGATTGTGGCCTTGGGCGTGGGTGTTGTCCTGTTATTACACTCCTGACTAGGCCATATCGGTGACAAGATATGGCTGCTCTTCTACTGTCCTTTGTTCGACAACCAACACAACAGCCCACTGTTAATACCAGACACATGACAAAATCCCCCTCTTCACGTTATAACATTTTATATTTACTACGACACAGTTCAATTATATCAGTTCAAACGTTTCAGTTTAGTCATACTAATTATTCATTATTTTACCTTTACATTATCAAATTCAACCTCGTCTACTATTTTTCTCCCTATCTAAAAAATAAATAAAAATACTCAGCTGAACCTAGCCACACCCCTAAGTTACGGACCTTGCCAGTCACCAGTATTATCTAAAATTTCCCGAACCCAGCCGTATCCTTGAAGTTACGGACCTTGCCGGTGTAATTCTTCGAACCTAGTCCTACTGATGTAGTTACGAACCTTGCCGATAGCAATTACTTAAGTCAATTATTCCCTGTATCTCCGAACCTAGCCGTATTCTTGCAGTTACGGACCTTGCCGATAGATGTCAGTATTGTCTCCGAACCTAGCCGTACTCCACAGTTACGGACCATGCCGGTAGCACAAAAACTCTATGGTACCAGGTTTTAACACTCACATTTACCATACATTTGCATATCACAATAGCGACAATTTCTTATTTACTCATAATAATTCATAATTTAGTTCGCTTACATCAAACAGGTGTTTCACAAAATTAATTTGGATAAAGCCAATGTGCAGAACTTCAGTTATATAACAATAGGTGTCTGCTTACCTGTTGTTAGTAGTCCGGACTCTTTGTGAAACACACCGTCCAATGACAGAGATGTCCAATGGGCCGGACGATATCCAGCGAAGTCCCTTTACCAGATCACGTCGGAGGTCACCAATTGTCAAGTTGCGTCAATTCAAATCTGGTATTTGGGACAAAAGAGGTCATTACACAGTATCCAAGTTAGTCTAGTATTTATTAATGCAAATGTTTAAATGGTAAGTATGAGAGTTCGTATACGGGCTCACTGTAATACCACGCAGGGCAGACAGAGAACTGATCCATTGTTATGAGTTCTTCATAAAATACTCTGACAGAGATAGTTCCCGCTCCCTGCTGGGCCTATCAGAGTAGAGACTGAGCGTGGTTTAGACTTACTCAGCCAATCCGTTGGCGCACCGGCTGGTCCCAGGCCCTTGGCGCTCCAGTGTTGCACACTGTTGCCAGGCATAAATTGTTATCATAACAACCTGTAGAGCCAGCTCCCATAGACACCGTTCCACTGTACCCTAAGTACCTACTGTGGGGTTCTATTTTCTCATAATTGGATCTGTATGTGATGAATAGCTTAGAAGGAATGCATTAATGATAAGCATAGAAGGTTTGTACTATACTGATATAAATTGTTTCACATAACAAGCTGTGATTCATGAAAGGAACGTTAGGGGGTAGAACAGATAAGACTTGTATTTCTTACAGATACGAACACTGCCTCTTTGTTGTCTGTGAACCGTCCTTGAACGTAGGTACTTACAGTACAGGGGCTGGGACCAGCCGGTGCGCCAACGGATTGGCTGAGTAAGTCTAAACCACGCTCAGTCTCTACTCTGATTGGCCAGCAGGGAGCGGGAACTATCTCTGTTAGAGTATTTTAAGGAGAACTCATAACAATGGATTAGTTCTCTGAGTGCCCTGCGTGGTATTTCAGTGGACCCGTATATACGAACATCATATTTACCATTGAAGGTTTTGCATTAATTAAAATACTAGTCTATTTAGAAGACGTGTATTGACCTCTTTTGTTCCTAATACCAGATTTGAATTGACGCAACTTAACACTACGTTCAAGGACGGTTCACAGATCACAAAGAAGCAGTGTAGTCTAGTATTTGGAGACACTAGTTCTTATCTTCCCCTACTCCCTAAAACAGCTCCTCACATTAATCACAGCTTGTTAGGTGAAACAATTTATATCAGTACAGTTCAGACATTTACATTTACATTTTAGTCATTTAGCAGACGCTCTTATCCAGAGCGACTTACAGTTAGTGAATTTTTTATTTATTTTTTATACTGGCCCCCCATGGGAATCGAACCCACAACCCTGGCGTTGCAAACGCCATGCTCTATCCACTGAGCTACATCCCTGCCGGCCATTCCCTCCCCTACCCTGGACGACGCTGGGCCAATTGTGCGCCGCCCATGAGTCTCCCGGTCGCGGCCGGCTGCGACAGAGCCTGGATTCGAACCAGACCTTTTATGCTTTAATCATTAATGCATTCTTTCTAAGTTAGTCATCCCATCAGTTATGAGAAAATAGATCCCCACACATCCATTTTTTGACTTATAAATTAATGATATTGATTCTTGAAAAAATGTGCCTCCATGAACTTCAGTTCAACTGTCATACCCCCTCAGTCAGAACCCAATATATAAGCTTGTTTTACTATGTAAATGTAAATAAACACTGTATAGCCTCAACATGGTTAAAACTATAATTTGGATCAAATGGATGGTCAGTCCTTGTATCTTTTCGCTCTGTCTGAATTTCAGTGGTTGCATTTCTCCAGGCCCATCCCTCAGCTTTTTACCAAAACAGAGGCGGGTTGCCCACTTTATTGTTTTAAGAATTCAAGCTTTAATGAGATGGATGTCTTGATCTATTGGAGAGTTCACTGTTCTGTTGCTCTTGTCCTGGGAGAGGACTGTTTACATTTTAGTCATTTAGCAGACGCTCTTATCCAGACTTAAAGTTAGTGCATTCATCTTAAGAAAGCTAGTTGGGACAACCACACCACAGGCACAGAAAGTACAATTTTCCTCAATAAGGTAGCTATCAGTAGTCTGAGTTAGAAGGGGGGTGAGGAGGAGGATTATTTAAGATACTGTTTGAAGAGGTAAGGTTTTAGATGTTTACAGAAGATGGGCAGGGACTCTGCTGTCCTAACCGGTGTTGCCAATTTAGCGACTTTGTCGCTATATTTAGCTAGTTTTCAGACCACTCTAGCGACACATATTCAAAAAAGCTACTAGCGACAAATCCAGCGACTTTTTCTGGTGTTATTGGTGAAAGCACGTATCGTTCTTACTCTTCTCAACGAGCAGCGGGTGCTTTGTTAC